TTCCAGTTTCTGTCTTTTTTAAATAGTTGTGGGCAATCGGCCTTATCTGCATAATATTGATTTTTGTTCTAGCGATTGTTGGTAAGTTTTTAATTGACAATTTCAAGTTTTTATTTTTTGTATATTATAGGAGTAGTTGCTGGATTGTTGGGATGTCATTTTCATAAAAATTGCCCACTCTAACTGTTATAATTGTTGAGTTTATATATATTTTAAAAACTGTTGTCATTGTCCTCTGTATATAACAATATTTTATTTATTGTTTCTATGTTGCAATGCACTTTGATGAAAAAATTATAAAAACAAAATGTGTTCATGTGTAGGAGAATGTTGCATAAAGTAGGCAAAAAAATAGTATTCAACATTGAAACAAATTTCCAGTGGATGGTACCCAGTTCTTATTAGCTATATAGTAAGCTTAGCCCAGGTAGTAGCTATACAGGTAGCACAGCCTCACTGATTATTCATCTCTGTCATAATACTAACAGCCATATGCTGTTATTACTTCATGTCTTATCTTAAACTAGATCTATTACTCTACTTGGTTTAACCTATAGTGAATCACATTAATGCGCTGATACAGTGCAGTGACCAGCTAATATTTACAGCATAATGAGTAACATTACCATACATATGTATACCTATATACTAGTACATCTATATTTCCAGTAAGCTGCCATCATATGCAATTATAGTGGGCCTGTCCCTCACAAAGACTTGCGGAATCATGATGCAATGCCTAACGCGAAAAATAAGTTTTAAAATAATACAGTCTTTTTTAATGACACAATAAAATATATTTTGTGCTGTCAGAAATATCAAGATACAAACAAACAATCAAATAATAATGTGTGTGCATGTGTTCGGCAACAGTTATTTATATTGTTCATATTTATTAATCATATCATCATACAGTTTGTTAGCAAGTATGGTATCTTCGTCTTTGAGTATTTCTAAAATATACTCAAAAACCTTTCCCTCTTGTTGTACAGAGTCTTTAATAATGTCAAGTAGTTGATCCATTCTCTGGTCAGTGGTACGTCCACTGTGTTCATCAGTGGCTTTCTTCTTTTGTCTATTATTTATTACCTTCTTCTCTAATAACTTCTCTGCTAAGAAGTGAAGATCAATCCCACAGCGTCTGATTCCTGAAGTACATTCTGACATCACTCTATA